TCCAGGATGGGCTGAAAAAGTGTTGGTTTTGGCTATGGTTTTTTATGCAGGGGAAGGATCTGCCTATTGTGTTTTACCTCCAGCCCATAAAGTTCTCCATATACTGTTGGTGGAATATTTCTACTTACCCAGTAAGCACAGCTTCAAAACATGTCGGAGATTATGGAAAGAACAAAAAAACAGATGGGGAAGGCTCTTCCCCTCAAACATGATCACAAACCCTGAGAGAAGCCTAAGGAAAGAGAGAGACCTTCCAGAACATGCTGAAGTTGGGTTGATTCTGATGCCTTGGTAGTATATGGAAAGAATTCTCCTGCAGTCTCATTACCTGAGGTGATCAAAACCTTTTTAGCTCAAAGACAAAAAGTTAGGTTTTGCCTAAAGCAGGTTACAATGTGTACCTTGCAGCTGGTTTGGGCAGTTGATGCTGAGGAAACCTCCAGACAGCCCTGTGTCCAGTGTGTTGCCCTCTGTGCAACAGGGCCAGCCCATTTGCAACAGCTGTGTAGATTAACAGCTTTCCAAGATGCTTAGAACAATAAACTTGTTAAAAAATCATTCAGAAGTGATTACCCTCCTTACTAATCTGCTTCCCTGCTTGTTTCACATGTGGGGGCTGAACTGGAATGACATGCAAATGTAATGCCTTAACTTCCCCTACAAAACATGACTGCACCACCATGTGCTTTGCAGCACCACCTGGGTCTTTTGGTTGTTTTAAAGAGTTCATCAGCATACATGTGAAATCATCAATATTTGTGCCCATGCTGAGGCTTTTTCAGTGCTATCCCCTTAAAAAACAATTTGGATGACAATTGATGTTTCCCTCTAGTTTTGTGTCAGCTTTGCTTTGACCCACTGTATTAGGGCAGGGTGTTTTCATATGCAATACTGTTCTCTTTGGTTGTCTCGTGTTATCCACAAAATGTGATGGGAAAGTAACACCAGGAAAAGGTGTCTGCTTAACTCCTATCTATGTTGGGATGGCAAAATGCACGGGTTTAAAATGCACAGGATCTTTTAATCCCCTCTTAGAGCTTCAGTTTTGCAGCAGTTTTAGGGCACTCCATCAGGACTGCTTGGAGAAATGTACTTTGAAAAGCTGCTTTTGCATTTTCACAAATGAACAGTGTATATATATATATATGTATATAAATCTTGGGGGTTTTGTTCTGTTGTCCAAACACACCTACAGCAGTAGGGTCCTCTTACCTCTCTTTGCACCTTGCTTTCTCTTCCTGGGAGCAGTCCTGCTCAGTTCTGTGTAGCATCCAAATCTGTTCCCTCTCCAGGTAGCTGCCATCTAAATTCACACCTTTGTTCCCATGTTGGACTGTCTTCAGCTTCTTCTGTACCCATTTCTGCTGAGCCCAGCCCATCACCTTCTCTGTGTCCATCTGTCCCTGCCCCAAGCCTCACTATCATTTTCATGCAGTGCTGTCTCTGAAGAGCCCATTCTGTTTCCCATTGGCCTCAGAACAGAATATTCGTGTTCTTGCCAGTTTTATTACTGATGCAGGCAGTGTCTCTCATCAGAGAACAGTTATGCCACGTGCTCTAAAAGCAGGAGCTGGTTATCCCTGTCCCATAGAATTTATCATAACGATTTTGGTCTGCTTTCTCCCCTTTATTGTTTGTCCAAATATATCTGACTTTTTTACCTCCCCTTACTTTGTCCCTGTTTCCTAAGATCATGTCTCTTTCCTCCCTCAAGCTGCTCTACTCCTCCATGCCCTCGTTCCTTCTTCCTCCATTATCCAGCTCTCGCTATGTCTGTCTGTTACTGCCTCTTCACCCTACACATGATTTAGACCCCTCTTCCTACTCATGATTTGTGGTCATTTCAGATCACCTTATAGTTTAGGTGTGAGGGAATGAATTGTCTCTTTCACCCTTCTCTCTGAAGACAGTGGGTGAGGTTTGTCAATGTAAATCTGGAGTAGTTCACTGATTTTTACCCCTGCATACTTGTGGAAGCATATTGTCAAGATGATCATTAGTAACAGGGATTTTATTTTTATTTGCTGTATTCACAGTATCTAAAGAACTGAAAGCCCTTTAATGTCGGTAAGACTCTGTCTTACCTTTCCTGGAACTCATTCACCCCATAATGTAATATAAGCACATTTATTTCAAATGACTGGAAAGAAACCGTTAATGCTTGTATTATGTTTTAACTTGCTTTCCTTTGGAGGCAGGGAATTGTCAAGTAAGTACTAACAGAGAAAGCACAGATTGCTGTCCATGTACAATGCAGATTGCATAGACCAAAAGGGGGAAATACATGTCATTTGCGACTGTGCAAGTTTCTTGTCTTGACACTGCCATCTTCTGTATCAAAATCAAGTAGGCGCAGTCCCAGACTTGTTGAAATGACTTCTTAAAGTGTTAAACATTGGGTGTTGCTTTACATCTGTTTTATTAACATCACAAGGCAGTGTGTGTATATATATACATGTATATGTATATATGACTGCACACAACATGGTGTCGGTGTGTACTGTGAAAAGGTATATAGCAAAGTATATGTGTGTATGTGTATGTTTCCAAATGAAACCTCATGCTTACAGTAGTGATGATCAAGCATGTCACAGTGTAATGTCCTCTTATTTGCATAAAGAATCTTGCCTTGCTCTTGTCATAAACTTTAACTGATGCTAAACCTTGGGGGTTAAAATAATGTAAAGAAATGTACAAATGTCTTAAAGTTCCACTAAAACAGAAAAAAGAGCAGGGAGCATACAAGAAAATGCTTTATTACTTTCATAAGCAAGGCCCAGGTAAATCTGGGCTGCAATGAAATCATGATTTTATTTTGTAAGAGCCTTAAGTTCTGTAAGAGTTTCCCCCCCTTCTCTGGTGACTGCGCTGCTATTCGGTCCAGTTGCCACCACCACTTATGTAATGTGATTTGATTGACCACTTTCAGAGAAAATAAAGGTGCTTGTTTCCCTCTGAACAAAAAAGCACAAGCTGTCCCCATGAGCAAGTTGGCCTCCCAAGGAACAATGACGAGGCAAACTCACAGGCTGAACTAGGGGAGAAAACAAGCATCCATTGTGTGACATTCTCAACTGTGCTTAGGAGGCTGTTAAGTTCCTACCAATATCCATCCCTGTCAGGAACCTGCAAATAGACGCATGGAATCACGTTCTCCTGCAGTATAAAGTGTGCAGGAAGCAGGGATGTAGCTTCCTTTTTTCCTCCATCCCATAGGATCTTTAGTTCCGAGCATACCCAGGGATGGTGTTCCTGAATTTGTGGACTGGTGCACTCTTTAATTTCTGTTTTAGTTCTTGCTGGCATGCTTGAACAGCATGGTTTGTGCCACAGAGGAATGACTGATGGACTCTAGAAGTGCTTGTGCATGAGTAAAGTGGTCAGAAGTACACCTAAACTGTATTAAGTTTCTTACTTGGCTTTATTTGCTGCTTACAAGGGGATCAAGGTAACTCTTTCACTCTTTTGATGTCACAAGATCACCTGCTAATGCACTTTGCTAGTACTTAGTGAGTTTGTTTGTTTGCTTGAGGGGTGGGTGAGTTTGTTCACCTCCAGCTTTGTTCTGTCTTATTGAGAGCTCAGATTTTCAGCTGCTTACTCCTGCAATAAGTATTCTAGCTGTGTAGCAGTGAGTGCTCTAAATGTGTGTTTTGTCACTTTAATACCTTCCATACAAAACTACAATTCCAGAAAAAGCAGCTCCCTTTAAGAAAAAGGAATTTCATTCTGCAATTACTTCTTGCAAAAATGAGAATTAACGGGAGTAAAAGCAAAGGCAAGGAAAATGTAGTTTTCATGGCATTTATCATGGATACTGCACACATCTTTTTAAAAATCTTAAAGCGTGGAAATGCTTTCCAAATTGGAATAGTTATTAAATAAATTGAGGGCTTTTCACTTACAGAACCCCACTGTTGTTTAGCCCTGTCTCCAGAACCTGCAGTTGGAGTTTAAAGGCATGTTGTGAGGTGGGGTTTGTGTTATTAACAGCAGCTATCAAGTGATGTTTTGGAGAAGCATTTAACCATAACATCTGGTTTTATTCTTTTCCCATCATCACTTGTACCCAAGGCCTTTTCTAAGTATCAAACATGATGAAGGATGTGGGCTAATGTTCACCAGTAATCCAGTGCAACCCTCGTGGCTCTGTTCTGCGCAGACAGGGTCAGAATTAACCCTCATGGAGTTGTTACACGAATTAGCCCTCATGAACTTCTGTTAACAGAAAGGGGAATCATTATGCTCAAATTAACACAGTGCTCATCTACAGTGGAGCAAGGCCTTTGATTTTGTAAGGTCATGAACTTCCAGAGGCTGAGCTCCTGCTTCTCCTCTTGGGTCTGTGCCTCTTCTTGCTTCCTCAGAAGGATCAATAGTAGCAGCACAGGCTGTCAGTCCTTAAAGACCATTTGCTCAGATCAGATTTTGTTTCAGTGTTCCACATTTGTCTTCTTAGCTACTTCTAGCAACTGTGATTATGTAAAAGTGCTTTGCTGGCCTCAGTCCCTGTTAACTTCACACGGATGAATAACTTGTACAGTTCAAAACCTAATCATTTCATCTTTAATATGATTTTGGAGAAGGTTTTCATAAAGTCATGTCAAGGTTTCATGGTGGGGTTTCTCAGAAGCAGCAAGGTTGGGGAAATGTCAAGTGCCAGCTGTAGAATATCTTTTAGCTCATTTCTGAAAGCAATAATTTACTATCCTTTAGTATTCAAGGAATTCCCTATGGATTTATATCATGGGGGTTTTAGAAAACGGCATAAGGTGTTCTGCCACTCACCCACAAAATCAGTGTCATTTCTGCTCTTTCCATCAACATGCATATGATTGTATTCAGTTTGTTGGTCAACTCTAAAAAAAACCTAGGCATTAAGCTGATAGAGTTGCAGTTGGCCATTTCTTGTTGCCATACCAAACACATGCTGTGGTTTTGGAGGCTTTATTTTGCTTTCAAGCATATTGATTGTCCTATTTTGTACCTGTTTGTTTCAGGCCACCAGTTAGCAGAGCTGCTCCTCAACCTGAGAAACTGCAAAAGAACAATATCAACAAAAAAAAGAAACTGGTTGAGGTCAGGCTTTATCTTTTTGCATTTGCTTTAGAAGTGCTGGGGGAAATTCATCTCCGTTTTGAGGGCTGCTGAAGTCATGGAGAGGTAGAAGAGAAGAGAAAGAGATTTCTAGGAAGTGCTTTCAAACACCAGGAGATGTGATAGACAGCAGCCTCTGTCAGGAAGAGCCTCAGATTGAGGGTTTTAAAGCTTGCATGCAATAGGAAGCTCTCCAAACCCACCATCTGTCTCTCAGTTTGAAGGCAGGTAGACCCAGAGTGTATGTGCATCCACCGCCGAGCCTGTACTCACTACATAATCCCATGGGAAACAGGCAGAAGCTGCATGTTCACGCAGGAGAAAATCACATGCAGGACTTTGCATGATGAGGTTTGCTTGTTTACTTTGGAGCACACCTTTTCCCCCAAACAGCCTTTCTGAATTGCCTCACTATATGCTGAACAAGGAATATTCTGTGTTCTGTGTGGGCCGTTCGCAACACTTGCTTGGGCTGCCACTCTCATTTGAATTGTGCCAAGTAAGCTGTGATTGTGTCTGGGACAGGTTCATTAACTCTTGTCTTCTGGGCTACAAAAGCAACTTTAACAACTACCCATTAACCACCATTGTTTTCCTGGAGGAAGTTTCCTCAGCAGTTGCTTATTGTATGCTGAAATTACACCTCTGATTAATGTGTTAATTGTGAAGTTACTTATAGCCTTTGCTTCTTATAAGGACTTTCAGGTCAGAATTAGGTCTGTTAAAACTTGGTAGTTTGAAAGAATGATTTTTGAAGACTCTTAAAGTAGAATTAAAGACACTTGCAAAGATCTAATGGCCTATATAGATGTCAAACTGTGATGGGAGGATTAATAGATCTGGATCTGTTTTATAAGTTGCATATATTTTGAAGGGAAATTTACAGCAGCCAGATGAATTATTAAAGAAATAGTAAAATAAATGCAGTGCCTTAGTTGACCATTAAAGCACTGTATATTGTCTGTGAGAATGTCATGCCCCAATAAATGAGTAAAAGAACAGGGTTAACTGATAAACTATAGTTTAATTATCACATCACCTCTACAAGGTATTTGTAGCTCATGTGATTACTTTAGAACTGTGCTTATGTGAGGCAAAATCTGTGATCTCTTGTTCTTTCTTTCATTTCACTCTTCCTCTTTGTTTTACTTGACCAGGAGCTGGCTTTAGACCATGTTTTTGGATACAGAGGATTCGACTGTCGCAACAACCTCCATTACCTGAATGATGGTGCTGATATTATTTTCCACACAGCTGCAGCAGGCATAGTCCAAAATCTTTCTACTGGTAATTCAACTTGAAACAACACTTTGAGATGAAAAATGCTTTACAAGTAAAAGGTTTCTGATTGAAAGCCTGCTGCCTTCAGAAGGAGCAGGGGCAGAGGCAGAAAAGCTGTCACATCTGGTGACCTTTAGGGACTCTGGTCTGAGCATGGCCTCTGACCATGACCCACAGAGCTGGGAAGCTCTGTCCCATCTGCTCTATTTGGGCCCTTGCCCATGGGAGGATAGTGCAAAGCTCAGACTTCACAGGGCTTGCTCTCTACTTTGCTTTGATCTACTGGGGAACTAGGACCCTGCACTTGCCAGTTTGGCTTTTCCTTGCAGTTACAGGTTGCTACAGGATGATTCTTGTGCTGATTCCTGGTTCCCTGAACATAGCTACTTTATTAAATACTGCTCTTATATATAGATATGTGTGTTAATGGTTATGTTCATAGTGCATCTGCTAATGTTGCCTGGGAGAGAGAGCACAGCAGCTGCTGAGGTAGTTCCATCCCCATCCACCCCTGGAAAGCACAGTATCAGTGTAGCAACAGGCCAAGTACTCTTTGCTTCAGTGGTGGTTTTTCCTTCAGTACTGTTGTGATTAAAACCATGTTTGAATTTTATTAGGGAGTCAGAGTTTCTACCTGGAGCATACTGATGACATTCTCTGCCTAACTGTGAATCAGCACCCAAAGTATAAAAACATTGTGGCTACCAGCCAGATCGGTAGGTGACTCTCCATATAGTAATGTTGTACTCACAAATCATCAGGGGCACTGATTCATTTTGGGCTTTTCTGTGTTGGAGTTTTACTAGGACATGCCAGTTCTATTGTCTTCAGTCTTTTTCTTTGATTTTTAAAGACGTAATCAAGCTTCAGGATTTTCCTGTGATTTGAATTTCACCTGTGATTGTGAGTGACTGGATTTTAGAGTTAATTGTAGCACAATCATATTTCAGAAAGCAAACCTTGATAAACTGTAATCTGTAATCATGTGATTTATAGAATTCCCATTCCTTCCTGTATCCAAGGCAGTGTTTAGCAGTAAAATGCTTAGCAGTGACAATAAAAGAATCAAAATTTCCTATGCAGGAGTGCAGAAGCTGTACAGGAAAGGAAAGAAAAAGAGGGGAATCTCAACAGAAGTTATGGCACATGTAAGGGGCCAGTTGTGAGACCCTGTGTATTTATGTGTTTAGTATTTACACAAAGAGTCTTCTTACATTCCCTAGTGCCTTTTGCAGGAGTAAACATTGCATGGGAAATGCAGGATATTTGTCCCAAGCCTTCCAAAGGATCTGTTGCCTTTCACTTAAACCTGCTTAATATAATTAACTGCATGAAAAAGAATGGTGTCATTTGAATTCATCTCATCACAGAAGGAGACCTGAGTCTGTAACTTCTGTAGTGAGTAACTTCACAAAGGGGCAGGAAAATGGCACCTTGACAAAGCAGCTTTGCCACCTGCACCCAGGGGCTGTCACTTCAATCTGGATGTTGAGGGAACACAAAAGTCTGTGTCTTGTCAGAGCTTCTGTTCAAAATACTGGGTTAAAAACTGACTGTTACAGCCCCCCTTTTTAGTCTGTCAGCAAGAGCCCATGAAATCAGCATTTCTGGTTATGGTTGAGATTCTGTATAACCACAGATTCATTCCACTTCGAAACGTAACAGTTTGTGAAAGCTGCATGTCTTTAGCATTTCTTTTAAACCTCAAAGTACTAAATATTGTTGCAATATTTGTGTATAAAAGCCAATATACCCAAAGAAGTTCAACAATATTCCTGCTTATTTGCTTTGTTGATTTAATCCATATCCATTTTCAAACTTTTAATTTTGTTTTTCCTTCTGGTGCTGATGCTGGCAGTTCAGCATTAGAAACATGACTTACTTCACCTATTGTTTTCCCTTGGTGCTTCCTCATTTGCCATTGCTCTCACAATGCAGGTGATATGACAGAATTCCCAGGTAAGGCTGATTTGTTTGTGGATTTTAGTCCAGCAGAGTTCTGTTGAAGTCTCATGTTTCCTCGTTGTATCTGTGTGAACCGCGGATACAAATGAAACATCCACAGTTTCTTTTGCATGAGGCTCTTCATGAGTGTTATGTTGTTCTTTCAGACCTTGTCTTACTTCATGAAATCCAATGATTCCCCTTGTGTTTTGCAAACTATTATGATTATTTTCTGGTTTGGGTACTGTTAATCTTAACACAAACCCCCTCAACTTCCAAGTGTCCGTTTAGGTTAAATGTTCTTGAAAAATGCTTCTTTTGCACTGAAGCTTTCCAAATGCTGAATTAATTCTCTTTGATCCCATCTTTTTGCATGTAGGTACAACTCCCACAATTCATATATGGGATGCTATGAGTAAGCAAACGATTTCAATGCTGCGTTGCTTCCATACCAAAGGGGTCAACTATGTTAACTTCAGTGCAACTGGCAAACTTCTGGTTTCTGTGGGAGTTGATCCAGAGCACACCATCACAGTGTGGAGGTGGCAAGAAGGTAACTCTGGAAGAATCATCTTCCTTTGGCCTGACAGAACTGTGTATAGTTGTTTGCTTTTCCTTTCAAGTCTTTGGAATAGATGGGTATTCCAGAGAACAGATTACTCTGAGTATCACAGCTCCTCAAGTCACAAAACCAGTTAAAGGAGATGGCAGAGTGATAGATAATACGAACAAGAAAATCAGTGTTAAATTTCTACTATAAATAAAAGTAAGTTAAGGAAATAATGTTGTTTAATATAAAATTCTGTGAAATTAAGGAGATTATTTTCTTCTTCCTAAAATACTTAAACTTGCAATTCTACGCTGTAGATAGGCCTTGGGAATTCCAAACAGGAATTAGCACCTTTGGAAATGGGCAAGATGAGAGGGAAAGTGTCCCAGCTGCACCCCTGTGCGTTTCACCAGAGGGCAGCTCACTGATGATATCCGAAATTTCTGTGGTGTTATTTCACTGATGAAGGTGACAAATCGTGCTGTGAAGACCTCAATCTGAGCTTCCTAAAACTCTCATCACATCCAGGGTCCTTACGGGTTACATGAATTAAGATCTTGGATGCACCATGTGGGGATTTGCTTAGCTTTCAGCATCTGGGACACAGTTCTCTAGTCCAGTCCCAGGTCACTTGATGTTATAAAATCACATCAGAGCTTAACTTTGCAGGTAAATTTAACTTTCTTTTTATCCTTTAATTAAAACAGGGGCTAAAGTTGCCAGCAGGGGAGGACACCTGGAGAGGATATTCGTGGTAGAGTTCCGCCCAGACTCAGACACTCAGTTTGTGTCTGTTGGGGTAAAACACATGAAGTTCTGGACATTAGCTGGCAGTGCTTTGCTTTATAAGAAAGGAGTCATTGGTTCCATGGAAGATGCCAAAATGCAAACCATGCTTTCTGTGGCCTTCGGAGCAGTGAGTTCAAGTGACTTGCTACAGACTTTTATCATACATTGTTATTAAAACCACAAGTGTCAGTTTGCTTTGTTGAAATCTTGTGCAGCACACACAGAGCAAGACCATCGACCTCTTGCTTCTTGGTTAAACTTTGCATTTCAAACCTGTACACCTTTGCATCCTCATGGAAGTTTTCTAAGCAGGGTCTGGTTTCTCTGTCAGTGAATGGTTTTCATTCATGTCTGTGCTCACCTGCAGCATCAGCTGCCATGGCTTTTCTGGTTTTACTTTGCTAGTTATGTGGTGCTTCACTAGCTAACCCAGAAGAATGGGATGTTATTTGGTGGGTAGGCTCTGCTACCTTTTTTTCTACTAACAGTATTTGGTACAACATATGCCAGTGATCCCACTAATGGTGCCAGTATATTCTGCTCTCCAGTATGGTCATTAGGGAACCTTGCACTGTGCTTTAGATTTCATCATTAGTAAAACCAGGACATATTAACAGGGAAAAAGCAGTGTTACCATGAGCCTAACTAAGGTCTGAAATAGCTTCTGCTTCATCCAGAAACCCTACAGAAATTACCTTTGCACAGGTTGGGCATAAATTACACAAATCACCAATTCAAAGAAACCCCTTACTCCTAATGACCCACCCTGGACAATAGTGCTAATATGTGCAATGCAGGACTATAAAATTAGCCTCCCAAATCCTCATCTTTATGCCCAAAGAAGTGAGTGTGTTGTCAAAAAATGCTTAATACCAAACATTTATTTCTGTTCAGTGGAATTATTCCAGTACAAAATAGGAGTAATGTAATGGACACTAAAGACCCCAAAAGTGATTTTAAATAAGAAGCAGAATATAATGACAGAACAAACAAATTGCTTGTCTGTACTTTTCAAAGCCAGCAGATGAGCTCAACTTGATCAGAATACGTCATTCTTCCAGGGTGCTTTTTGCTTCCTCAAGTATGTGTGATTGAATCTCACTGGCTTCCTTTTATCAGGAATTATGCCATTGCTGTGGTGCATAAAGCAGGTACCAGGTTGAGTTAGTTCTGCAGTTAAGTTTATACACTTCATTTTCAACATCTGGAAGATCCTGCTTGCCAGTCACCTGTACTGGGATTCTCCCCGACACGTACTCCAAGAAGAAATCAGCATCACTTAGAATTCAGCAGTGGTCACCTGCTGTCCACCTCACCAGTGGGGCCATGGCACTGCATGAGCACACCAGAAGAAGCACACGCATCTGAAAGTTCAAGATAGATGCATGAGGTGAATGTGTTCCACCCACATGATTAATAACATCCCAAAGAAACACCCTCAAAGTGCAGTCATTAAACTCATTCCCTCAATGCAGATGGTTTTAATTCCTGCAGTCATTGCATAGTTGACTTTTCTCAGAAAATTCAGTAGCTAAAAGAATCTTAACTGAAGCTGAACAAAACTGCTGAGGAATTTATTATATCAGAGATTGTTGCTTTTTGTTGCAGAATAACCTTACATTTACTGGTGCCATAAATGGAGATGTCTACGTGTGGAAGGACCATTTTCTGGTCAGGCTTGTGGCAAAAGCTCACACAGGGCCAGTGTTCACAATGTACACAACCCTTCGAGACGGACTCATTGTTACAGGAGGGAAGGAGAGACCGTAAGATACAAAACCTTCCTACAGTGCACGGCTTTTCTCTCTCTCGTTTTGTTTTCAGCTTATCCAATACCCTAGGCATACACAATGCTTCCCAGAGATAAATGGCATCTCTCCTGTGGCAGCTGCTGTCTAAATCTGATGTAATGTGCACAGGTATCTTAGTAAAGGACTAATAAGTAGGATACTCAAGGTCACAGTAATGCATGTTATGTGCAAAGGGTGTACTGAACCTCAAACTAGCAATTGATATGAGCACCTGCATAAGCTCCTGCCAGCCTGGTAGAAGTGGGTTTTCCTTAATTTTTTAATTCTGGCAAATTACAGACAACCTCTCCCAGTGGAGATGCTGATGAGTAAATTCTTTCATTTACTTGAAGTAACAAATTTGCCAAGCTTGTCTTGGCAGCAGAGATTTGAGATTAAGTGACAAGAGAACAGTTTGGTTTTTGCAAAGTAGATACTGTTCAAAACATAAAGTGTGATGGCATTTACATTATTTATTTTCCATTACACAATAGTGAGGTGTTTTTATAGAGTCATAGAATCACAGAATGGTTTGGGTTGGAAGGGACCTTACAGCTCATCCAGCTCCAACCCCTGCCACAGGCAGGGACACCTTCCACTAGAGCAGCTTGCTCCAAGCCCCTGTGTCCAACCTGGCCTTGAACACTGCCAGGGATGGGGCAGCCACAGCTTCTCTGGGCACCCTGTGCCAGCGCCTCAGCACCCTCACAGGGAGGAACTTCTGCCTTATATCCAACCTAAATCTCCCATTTCAGTTTGAACCCATCATCCCTTGTCCTATCACTACAGTCCCTGATGTAGAGTCCCTCTCCTCATCCTTGCAGCCCCCTTCAGACACTGAGGTTTCCATGCAGCTTCTCTTCTCCAGGCTGAACAACCCTGATTTTCTCAGCCTGTCTTTGTATGGGAGATGCTCCAGCCCTCTTAGATACAGCAGAATGTGATTCAATGTATGTCTTATTTTTTAATCAGAAAAATACAGGTGGGATTTACATATGGGCTTTATTGTAGCCTGTGCAGAGGGAGACGTGGGTAACACAGCACCCTTCTTTTCAGCACTAAAGAAGGGGGAGCTGTAAAGCTGTGGGACCAGGAGATGAAGCGGTGCCGAGCGTTCCAGCTTGAGACAGGCCAGCTCATCGAGTGCGTGCGCTCCGTCTGCAGGGGCAAAGTGAGTGAGCAGCACCCCTGCACGTTGTTCTTGGTGGAGGCTGATGGGAGACACAGGGGGGGAGATTTTTGTGGCATTATGTGAGGAGGCTTTGCCTGCCTACCCAGCGATGTGTCCTTACGTGTCTTCCTGAGCTCAGGAAGGGCTTTGAGCTGCTTCTGGCACCTGGGGCCTGCCTTTCCTCTATAGTCATCAAGGAAGCGTATGGACATATTTCACTAAGGCAGGACCCCTGTGTCCCACCTTTCTTTTCAAATGACAAAAGGAACTTGGGCACCTGCCTTACAAGCTTTGCTTCCCGTGCAACATGGGCACAGCTTAGGTGCTTCACTTGGACAGAGAGGATCCTAGCTTTGTTTTTTTCCTGAAGTCACAAATAGAACAAGTTGATGCTGAGAATTACCGGTTGACTTTAAGATTTGGTGAAGTGGAAAATAGAAATAACTGAGTAATTTACATGCTAAAGGCACTTTTGCATCCATTTAAATAGCACTTGTAAATGTTGTGAAAGGAGTGTGTGATGATGCAGGAGTGGTATTTTATATGATGAGTAGCTGTCCAACCTAACACCACATGAAATGAACTCTATCGTCATAAATCAAGTCTCAGGAATTTGACATGCTCTTTGGTAACACCACCATTGAGGAATGTTCTATGTTTCTAATTAAGTAGCCACTGACCAATTTCAAACTGTATCTGTTGATGCTTTTTCCATGTATTTACAGTTTAGACGATGACAGAGTGGCTAGAGTAGAAGCAAGGTGCTCTTCAACAGTCTGAGCCTAAACCCCTGTTGTTATTGCCCAGCATTATTTTGTTACCTCAGAGGTATGAGAATCACCCTTTACCAGTTTGTATTTAAACACTCTGCTCTGAATTAAAACCCTTAATAGCAAGGTGCAAATCCAGCACAGCACTCACCAGTGACACCAGAACATGATAGCAGACGCTAAGATGTGAGAGTGTCCGTGGTTTAATCTCCTACTTTTAAGATGCTGCATGAACAAGCAGTACAAATCAGGATGAGTTATCACAAGTATTTCTGCAATACATTGGTATTCACTGCTATGGATCTATTCTGTCTCTTACACTGAGAACCTGTCTCTTATTCTTCTTTTCACCTATGAACAGGGGAAGATTTTAGTGGGAACAAAAGATGGAGAAATCCTTGAAGTAGGGGAAAAAAATGCTGCTTCAAACTTGTTGATTGACTGTCACATGGAAGGGGAAATCTGGGGCTTAGCAACTCACCCCTCAAAAGACATCTTTATCTCTGCCAGTAATGATGGAACAGCAAGAATCTGGGACCTGTCTGACAAAGTGAGTACTGCTGAATTTACAAGTATACAATAAAATATGATCACTTTATACAGCTGTGTGGATTTCCAGCAGTACGTGTGCACCTTTGCACAGCCACATAAAGAGAGCAATGTGTTTCTCCTGGTTTGGTGTGGTTCCTTTTATGCCCTGCTCCGGGGTGATGTGGAAGGGTGAGTCCTTGCAGAGGTAGCACTGCTGCTCTTTCCAGCTGCAAGCAGTCTGCAGAGAAACACAGCTATCTGCAGGGAATCTCAGAACCCCAGCCTGGTTTGGGTTGGAAGGGACCTTACAGCTGCTCCAGCTCCAACCCCTGCCACGGGCAGGGACCCCTTCCACTAGAGCAGCTTGCTCCAAGCCCCTGTGTCCAACCTGGCCTTGAACACTGCCAGGGATGGGGCAGCCACAGCTTCTCTGGGCACAAGTTTAAACACCCTCATGCTGATGGAGTGTCTTTTGTTGTGCATGGCCTGTTTTGATCTGAAAGCACAGGCTGGCATGGATTAAGGAAGGGTTTTAATTCCATGCCTAGAGACCGGCTGACACAGATTGTCCTGTCACTAATACACAGACCCTGACACGAAGCCTGCCTTCCTGGCCACATGGCTCCCTCCTCCTTAGGGGCTTTCTTTAGAACCAGTCACATTCTTCCAGTCCTCCCAGTATCTGAAGGATGTAGATCTGAAGGATCTACAAGGATGCTGGGAAGCGACTCTTCCTCAGGGACTGTAGTGACAGGACAAGAGGTGATGGGTTCAAACTGAAACGGGAGATTTAGGTTGGATATAAAGAAGCTCTTCCCTGTGAGGGTGCTGAGGTGCTGGCACAGGGTGCCCAGAGGAGCTGTGGCTGCCCCATCCCTGGCAGTGTTCAAGGCCAGGTTGGATGCTGTAGTGTAATCCAGGATATTTATTTTGCCAAGTCAAGTTTTATACCAACAATCAGTTTTAAAAATAACAAATAAATGGAACATTTTAAAAAACTAATAAAAAGGTTTCTGCCTGTGGGAGCCTACACAGACCTCTTCAAAATGCAGTTACCTGAACCAACAGGGATCATTTTTAATATGGGAAAATGAATAGGTCACAAATACAGTTTGGGATCTATTTGGTACAGTTTGTGAACCTCAAGGCCAGGTTGGACAGAGCCTTGGGTGAGATGGTTTAGTGGGAGGTGTCCCTGCCCATGGCAGACTGGATGGTCTTAAGGTCTTTTCCAACCCAAACTATTCTATGGTTCTACAGTCAGATAGGTGAAAAATGCAGGAGTGTTCCAGGCTGTTTTCACACAGCGAATCAAATGGAAACCCTGCCCTCAGCAGCAGTTGCAGAAGCTGCCAAAATCACTTTCACACAAAACGGGGAATTGATTTTTCTGCCTTTTCTGATAAAGAGCGTCCCTTCTGGTGTGAAACATGAAGTCACAAACCCAAAACTCCCATCCGAGTCACATCTCTCCGTTGAAGCCTGCTCTGAGACATATGCCTGGTGGGATGTGATTTCTGATGTGAAATTTCAGGTTTAAATTTAGAGGAAACTCCAAGCCATTTGGTTCTCATCAGGGGCTTCCATCCCCTGTGTTTGGAAGCTTTCCCTTCTCTGGGAGCTCTCCCAGGGCAGGTTTGAGCCTCTTGCTTGTGTTAACACAGAAACTGCTGAACAAAGTGAACCTGGGCCACCCCGCGCGCTGCGCCGCATACAGCCCCGACGGTGACATGGTTGCCATTGGCATGAAGAACGGGGAGTTCGTGGTTTTACTTGTGAACAGCCTCAAGGTCTGGGGCAAGAAGCGAGACAGGAAATCTGCCATCCAGGATATCAGGTAGGCCAGAACTGCAGCTGCAGCTCTAAATGCACAGCCCTGACGCAAGAAAAGGGCCACAAGATCCAAGCCGATGTGCAGATTCTCTATAACTCCCTATTTGTTGTGTGACAGCATGAAATGCATTTACTGGCCAACCAGTAGCTTGATAAATACCTAAAGCTTGTATTTACATATATGTAAAGTTTATGTGTCTCATATACCGTATCTTGCATACTGCTGGGATTAATTCAGTTATATTTACTTGGACATAGCCAGGAATTTGTGTGCTGTGGAACTGGGAATATGGGAATGAATATCACAGACCATTTTAAAATTGTAATTCCTGTTGCTTTCTCCCAGAGGAGCAGTTACTCTGCACATCGTGCCGTGTGCTTTATGCATTAACATCAGTTAACTACATACAGTATCCTCCATCCTACTTATCTTTTGAGCATCAAGGTTTGGTTTGAATTCAGTCTTGCTACTTACAGAAGGTTTTTGTTGTTTTCCAGTAGAAGAAATCTGCTCTCTTGTATTAGCATGAGAAGCAAAAGAAAATCTTTTACAGAAAGAGTAAATTCTACCCCCATCCCATGTTTTATTGTCCAGGATCAGCCCCGATAACAAGTTTTTGGCAGTGGGTTCACAAGAACATACTGTGGATTTCTATGATCTCACTCAAGGTACGACCCTGAACCGAATAGGCTACTGCAAAGACATCGCAAGCTTCGTCATACAGATGGACTTCTCTGCAGACAGCAGGTACATCCAGGTACGTCTTGTTTGGTTGTATTTACTGTGACTTCCCTGCTACCAGACACAATAAGGAGGTGAGAAGGGGCAAAGGGAAGCTTTCCAAAGTTGCTCTGAACTTCAAGGTGCCTCTAAGTCTCCCAAGGTAGGGCTGATAACTCGGGTTGCCTTCAGAATGTTCATAGGGCCCTATAGTCCTCTTTCTAAATACTCAGGTCTTCCCCCTGCGTTCTGCATCTCTGCCCATAGCCACAACATAGCTCAGTTCCCTTATAGTGAGGGTCAGCCTGCTACCATGAGCAGGGAATACAATTAACTCTATCCCAGCCCAGCCCAGGCTCCTTAGAAGATCATCAGTGTGCTAAAAGCAAAGTGTTGTCTCATTTCAAGGGAGAGGGTGCAACATAGAGAAAGAAATTGTGGACTATGCTAATAAAGAAACAGTTCTGCTCCTCCTCCCCAGGATGGGATGCACGTTATAACAGCTTTAATAGGTGAGGTTTCCTTCTGAAATTCCTGTGATTCAGTAAAATCAGGTTGAGATAAACCAGAGAGTACATATCTGAAAGGAAATCTACCAGCTGTGCAGCGTGTGCATGAGCACCTCGTTCAGTTGTCATCCCGTAACAGTTATTACTTCATGCTGCACATAATGAATTGTAGCTAATTAGGGAAAAGGAAATTTCACCTGTTGAGACTATTACTGCTGGAAATGATACAAATGTAGACAATGATGTCTTTATGGCAAAGTCATCAGCTTTTTCCTTGCCTGCTCTCAGGTATCAACGGGTGCCTATAAGCGCCAAGTGCACGAGGTGCCGCTAGGGAAGCAGATAACAGATCCTGCTTTAATAGAGAAGATCACATGGGCTACATGGACAAGGTAAGCACTAAGAGCAGTGTTCTGACTGGTTGGGGCAGCTCTAATGCAGAATGAAGGTCAGGTTGTGTAAACCAAAGGCTTGAAATGTCCCCAGGGTTTGGCTCACTTGCCAGAGCACACAGACACTCCCCCAGAGCTCTGTCTTCCACACTCACCTCTCTACACACCTTTATAGCTGTTTGGTGTCTGTAGTAACTATGACTGCAGTCATGCTGAGGGCTGTCAGACACCCACAGGGGCTTGTTGCCCTCGTGGGACTCAGCACCACTTCACGCTTTGCTTTCACTGGCACACTGGTGTAGGTGCTACCTTATCCCACATCAACAAACACAAGCAGCATGGGAAGCAGGGAAACAGGAGCTGCCCATGAAGGAAGGAGCTGGGGGTATCATTAAAATACATTCACTGCCATAGGTTTATAGGGGCCCCTCCCAACAGGATTACAAAACTGTAATCATGTGCAAAGTGGAAGAGGCCAAAGGCAGATCTGAGATCTGAGCGGGTGGTAACAGAGGTGGTTTGAGGAGAAGGTTAAGTGAGAATCCTCTTCCTCCCACTGCTCTGCTACCAAGCATAAGGATCTGCCCCAAATACCTTGTTTCTAAGGACTCCTGACAGATTGTGGGAGTGGGGCAGACACATCTGACAGTAAATGTGCAGGTAAATAGGAATGATTATAAAGGAGCTTAATCTAAGGGAAGAACAGGTATCTTAGGAAGTGTTCCACACCCAAACAAGCATCCCTCATTCCGTAACTTACAGCTAAGAGAACACTGCTGCCAAAAATCCCCTTGGGGGGGTCCCTGTGTGTCCTTGAGGAAAGGAGGGGACTGTAGCTGCTTGTATAAAATGATGAGAGAGGTCCACAGGAGGTAAACCTCAGGATTTATGGACAGAGAGGGGTTAGATTTAGAGGTGATGTTGTGAGTCACACAAAGATGTATTCCAGTGATGGTCTCTGTGATGAGATCGCATTCGGTGCCATGATTTTGAAGGAAAAGACTGTTCTAAAAGGCAGCAGTTATTTATCCCTGGGCTGTGTTGCCTCCCCACGCTGTGGAACAGAGCAGCAGCGAGTGAGCCTTAGGTCTAATGCTCTTTTCTTAACTTGTTTTTGGAACAGCATTCTTGGAGACGAAGTCATTGGAATTTGGCCACGAAACGCAGATAAAGCAGATGTCAACTGTGCATGTGTGACCCATGCTGGCCTAAACATAGTCACAGGGGACGACTTCGGGCTGGTGAAACTGTTTGATTTCCCATGCACAGAAAAGTTTGTAAGTGGATAGTTCACTCTAGTCTGAACAGCCTGACCTTGCTCTGTGGTTTTAAGGCCTCCAAATGCGGGGTCCAGCGGGGCAGCTCCAAGCAGGAATGGCTGCAGGAGCACTGGGAGCTGGGGGTCCCCAGGTGAGCAGCTTGCAGGTGATGGAGCAGCCACCCTCCAGCAGGCAGGGAGGGAGGAGCACACAGGAGGGAGCAGTGAGCTGGGGTTACTGTGGGCTCAGAACACGGGAGCTGCTGGGGTTTGGCTCCCCGAGGCAGCTCCGTCGCCCTGGTGCCAACCTGCACGTGTCCGTCCCCACAGGCCAAGCACAAGCGGTATTTCGGGCACTCCGCTCACGTCACCAACATCCGCTTTTCCCACGACGACAAGTACGTGATCAGTACGGGAGGAGACGACTGCAGGTGAGGGACATGACCCAAGGTGCTGCGTGCTCCCTTCAGCACCAAGCCCCCAGCAGGGCACTGAACACCCCTCTCGGCCCATCCACAGCCTGCCCCTGGGTGGCAGCTTTAGCTTGGCTCTCCGACCCTGGGATCGATGCATTTCATGCTCATTGCACCCAAACCCTGCCTCCTTGGCACCACTCACAAGGTGATCGCTACTGCCTAAAGCATCCCGCATTTGGGTTCCTGTGTTGAGCAGCATCTGCTTGTAGCTCCTTGGTTTGCCTCCTCCCCGTGGGCAGAGGCACAGCAGACCTGGCCAGCACCGAGGTCCGAGGCTTCAGGCACCAAGAGGTAGCAAAAGGAGCCCCGGCTGCTGGCACAGGACCCACACGTGTGCCTGAAGAACATTGAGACCACTTAAAGACAGCTGGTGGGGGTGTCAGTCACACAAAAATAACTGAATAGCTCCTGCCCAGCAAAGGGTAGGACAGGAATTCCGGCCAAACACAGGGATGGACAGATTTAGAAAGGCATTTCAAAGAGCAGGAGGTGCAAAAGGTGCCCGAGCTCTGAGGTGGGCTTTTCTTTCTCCTTCAAAGAAAGGGCCAGTAAATGCACACACAGAGACACAGACACACGTGTGACTGCAGCCGGGTTCCCCTCCACTCTCACTCCCCACGTTTCATTTGAGCTCCCAGTACTGCTCAGAGGACACAACTGCCGAGCAAAACAGGGAGCACAGAGTGAGGAATGAAAACCAAACGTGGTTAAACACAGCCCATGAGAGACGTGCAAAGAGCACGAAGCAGAACTAGCAAAAGAGCTGGGTTTTGAAGAAAAGTGCTTTTTCTCCCTCAAACCAAGCAGGTAGGAAATGAAAAGGCACAAATCCCGACAGGAGCAAGTACCAGAGAGCTGCGGTCAAGCAGCAGGTATTCATAACTGCTTCCTCAGCAGGAAAACAGCAGCCGGGGACTGCAGGATTGGCTTTGCTGCTTTCCAGAAGCAGAGCCCTAAATGCTGATGGACGTTTGCCCACACCAGGCTCCCCAGCAGGAAGCCTGCAGCAGACACGGGTCTGATGCTGCAGTCAGTTTAACCCTCACTGCAGGAGCTCTCCCACATTAAAGCATCCACTGTCACTCCTGCAGTCACGCTGGTAATGAAGGACCCCCCCTCACCCCCCATACATTTTCCACTACTTTGGGGGTTAGGGAGGAGAAGGAAGTGTTTTGCTTTGAGAAAGGGGCTGCGCAGTGGGAGCAGGAAGCTCCCTCCCATCACAAAGCAGCTGCAGGGGAACAAAGGCTGCATTCACCTCAGCCCTCACCCTGCAGGACACAAGTTACATAAGCTCAGCAAAGCTCATCAGCTGCCCTGCTTTGGCCAGTGGTTATAGAGGGGATTTCTTGTTTCAGAGGGTAAGGAGAGCATAAAACAAAGTGAGGTCCTCAGGCAGGAGCTGGTTATAGACTCATACACTCAATTGTTAGGGTTGGAAAGGACCTTAGGATCATCCAGTTCCAACCCCCCTGCCATGGGCAGGGACACCTCACACTAAACCATCTCACTCAAGGCTCTGTCCAACCTGGCCTTGAACACTGCCAGGGATGGAGCACTCACAACCTCCCTGGGCAACCCATTCCAGTGCCTCAGCACCCTCACGGTGGTTGTGGTGCTGCAACTCTCCTGAGAAAGGGAAGCACATTCACATCATTCCGGGCTCCAAGTTGCTGTACGTGGCAGCTGGCTGGTAAACCCCCAGTTGGAGCCACTGTGGATCCATAATGCCTGTATTTAACACAGCCTCTCTTGGTGCTGCAAGCTAACCCCTCCCTCACTTCCTTCCCCTGCAGTGTCTTTGTGTGGCGCTGCCTTTGACCGGAGCCTCTCCTTGCTGCTGTTACTGCCACCACCCAGTGACTGGGCCAGCCTGGACAGCCACGATGCCTCGAGCCCTGCGGCTGCTGTGACCCCCACCCGACGCTGCCCTGTGACACCTCCAGGTTACTCACAGCATTTACTGAATGTGATCTCGCCCCATAACCCCGAGGAGGAAGGAGACGTCTGAAAGGGAATCCTTTTGTAAGCCGGGTAGGCCAGAGTGATGAACGGTTCACTCACAAAGCTGCTTTTGCCTAATACTGTGTTATCTAAACCCTGTCTGGGAAGGGAGCACACGGAGAAAACGCTGGGCCCTTTAATTTGCATCATTCCAAAATCTATGGCTTGGTTTGTTCAAGAAAAGGGGTGGGTTTTTCACCTCCTGCTTCAAACTCACCTTTGGGGCACTGAGTAAAGCCGCAGGCTTTGAACGGGTGAGCTGGGGTCACACTTCAGCTGTCAGCGAGCGAAGGAGCAAAGTTATCATTTTTTAAGTCCATCTTCTTTTTAAATATATATATTTGGCAAATTTTTCTATCCATGAAGTGCCTTGGAATAGTTTTCTATTAGTATGGGCTACAGCCTTGCCTCCCACCCCTTGCTTTCAACATACGGTGCTATAACTTTCACACAGAGGAGGGCTAACCATCACCACCTTTCCCAGCTGTGTACTTACTTCCACTGTCCCCGGTCTCTGCTTTGGGTTTCAACACCTTCACAAGTGAATTCCAAACTGTTTGTGACACAGAGGCAGCTCTGTGCTGTTCCGAGGACAATTCCCCGATGGCATTACACCCCTCGGTAAGCTGTTCACAACGTGTGCGATGGTAGCACGACTACAGCCGGAATGCGAAGCTTAAATGGTGAGTAGAGGGGGAGAGGCTTGGTTAAAGATGCCAACAGTGAGGAAGCTGCTCCCCGCATTCACCCACTCCCTGTCTGTGGGAAGCTGTGCTCTAGGGATAACTGCTTCCACAGGCAGGGGCCATCCACTGGTGTGGAAGCCTCCGAGTCACTGCTGCAATTCCTGCAGGGATCCCAAGGACTGCCTGGCACTGCTGCTCATGAGCAGAACAGAACCCCCTCCCCTACCAGAACATTCACCTGTCCTTGGGAAAAGCAGCCCCTGTGCTCATTTGGACTCCTGTTCCCATCATCACCTCTCCTGTGGGACAGGGTGTGGGATCCAGGAGAGGAGAGCAGAGCAGAGCAGCCCACGAGCAGGGGTTCACACAAGGCAGGTAAAGCCCATCAGTGCTTCTGTCAAAACCAAAAACTCCAGGGACAGGGGAACTGGAGAAAGAAAAAGTTCAACTTTTTCCCATGAAAGTGGCTGGAAAGGAATGGGAAGTGTGGGCAATGGCAAAGGATTTCTGAGATTGCGGGCCTAGAATAATGTGTTTTAAAATTACCTTTCTTGTAAAAAGCCTGTTTGTTGATCAAAGACATAAAGGCCAAAATAAAACCTTGAGACTTGCATTGGGTCTTTGAAAAGAAATGTTTGTTGGTGCTTTAGCCCCAGGTCAGGACCAAACCCTTTTGAACCGGGGGAAGTTCCTGCCAACCCATTTCTGACGCCCACTGCACAGAGAGGAGGCTGTTGGGTGCAATATCCGGTGCAAGGAGTGGATCAGTGCCCAGGTACCACACAAAAGTGCTTCAGCAACCTCAAAGAATCACCTTTTTTACAACTGAATTTATTAATTAATGCCTTGTATCACTACACAGAAGATCAGTTTGTCAGATACACAACACGGCCCTACGCAGTCCTTGTTCTAGCCACACCTCCTTGCTGAGATGATGTAATCCTGGCAGGTGGTGATGTCAGCGAGCACCTTCTCTGCCTTCCTTCTGCATGGATTGCATCCCAGATAGAACCAGAGCGAATTAATCAACGGTGATGTGAAAAGCGGCTTAAAGCAGTAGCGTCTGCCAGGAAACACATTTGTGTGTTTCTAGGGTCTGGCTTTACATACAAAAGGTTCAGAAGTCACCACGTCCAATACTGTAAACTCAAGTCCTAGCACATGGATTGATTTTCTAATGGTCAGGATGCCATTACTTACAAATCCGTGTCCCAAAGAAATCTGGGGGTCCAGCTCTTAAATCAGATCCAACAAATTGATCTGGAAAGATCCCTAGGACTTTTGCTTGCCAGTGTCCTCCCCCACGCAGACTACAGCATCACACATCAACTGTCTCTAAAGCAAACCAGGCACCTTCACTTGGCTGAGTCTGAAATGCCCCTTTCACTGTTTTCAACACCCAACTCACACCGCTTAAGTGGCAGCAACAACCAGAGCCACAGCCAAAGAGCCTGGGCGACAAGAACCACACACCCACTGGAGCCATGGGGAATGAGAGCTCTGGAACTGACCAAACTGCTTCACCCTGCATGGATGGGAAGAACAGGTACTGAGAGAAGCCATCGACTCACACCGCCTACGTCTGACAGACTGTGGCCACCACCATGTACAACGGATACTGAATCACCATGAGCTTCAACAAAATAAACACAAAGAGATTCAATTTGCCTCAAGAAAGCAAAATGCCACCAGGTTCTGTCTAGAAGCTTTATTGATACTTGGGGTTTGGGTTGGTTGGGGTTTTTTTTTGCCTTTTTGTTGGGTTTTTTTTTTTTACATTTCACAATGCATTCCACAGACTTGGTTCAATACAGCTTAACCTGCAAGTGGAGGAATTCTCCCTTATTTCTTGCATAACAAGGTTTTAGGGTTCCCAACAACATTTGCAGCATTAGATACTCGGTCCACAGATTATGAGAGTTTGAGAGATCAGAATCAACTACTGTACGTTTGTGTCACAAAGTGTATGCTTGTCTCTTGCTTTAGGTGTATGTGGAGGTTCCTTCCTTCATCCCCCTCTCGCTGCTTGTTTTAACCAGATGCTAGTGTTTACACAGACAGTTTGGGGTCCAAGCTTGTGTGCTGCAGAGCTAGTCCAGCCACCAGTCAATTCTCTGAAGTACAAAGCACTGTGGAGCAGCTGAAAGATCTAAGCTTTGTGAAACACATATATATATATATATATATTGGCAATTGATAAAACAGTAAAATCACAATACAGCTATACTCATACCAAAAAGGCAAGATTTGCTTTCAAAACTTGCTCAAATGGTATAATTCTTCTAAAACATCTCAGTTTAGAAAATGGGCATCAACCTACACAGACCATACACCGTGCACACACTGCAGTGCCTCCGCTCCACCCGCCCCAGCCGGGAACGCCGCAGGGACTACCGCTGACGAAGCAAAATGTACAGCTTTCAACTCTTGGGTTAGCCAGTGCTGCTGCACACAGGATAGAGGAAGATGATTAGGTTAGATCCATACATAGCAGCTTAACGATACTTAGGATGATGAAAACACATGGCAGTCAAAACAGTTATTTTTGTTTTCCTCAAACACTGCGTTGCTAAAAAATAAAGATCTGTGAAATTGCACTGCAATGTCAAGGGGTTCGCGATTCCCTGACCCTCCCCGTGTCAATCCAAATGAGTAGTTTTTTTTCCCCCTTAAAAGATGAACTTCCTATCGGCACGCTGCTTCAGGCTTTTTACTCAGTTTTGCGCTTCAACCCAGGGATCTTTGCTTGGATCCTGCAAGAGGGAACAGAACAGCATTTGAGTAATGAACAAGAAGCAGGAGGTGTAAAACACAGAGCCGTAAAGCAGCAGCATGGCAAGAGAACGATCACAGCAACACACAACCCAATGCAACCGCTCAATTCTCCATTCCCTCCTCAGCTGCAACTGCTGAGGGCCCCGGGTTTCACTGATGGGTTGAAAGACACAGATTGCTGGTAGAAGTCACACAGGATTAACTTAGCGAGAGCAGAGCTGATTTTGTAACCATTCCAAATTTAAACAGAGGACTTTTTCCTCCTAGGACCAGGGCACACAATGCATTTGTTACATACAGGAATGCCACAGGTACCGAGAACAATGAATGCTATTTATAAAGTGCAAGTTTACTCACTTAGCCATGGCATCTTTGACATTCTTGTTCACGAGTCCCAAATAATGGTCAATTTGGGCCTGAAACGGAAGATGACTGATGTTACCAGCAGCTCTTACACTCACTGTGCTGCAGAATCCCAGCACACAACACGTGCTTCACACAGGAGACGGACTGTAATGTAAGGAAGGCAGGAAGGGGCTCACCCATGTGTCCCAGGTTAGTGCCCATGGCTTCAGCCACAGCACACAGCAGTGTCTGCCCCGGAGCAGCAGGGAGCAGCGGGCAGGAGCCCACATAAACCCACCTCTGGCTTCTGGAGCAGCCACTTGTGGTTCCCCGCCTCAGCTCAAGGCCAACACGAGGGTGCACAACCAGCCCGGGCCCTCGGTGCCTCTGGGCAGCACAGGGAAGGGAAGCGGCTTAGGGGGGCCGGGCCTGGTAACCAGCTTATGCCCTTGGCGAGCAGCTTCAGCCCCTCAAGAGGATTGCAGAGCCCGGGTTAAGCCACACAACTCGTCCCTCCTCCTCCTGTCCCTGCAGAGCACCCTGCTCCCTCCTCGGAGCTCGGAGAGGAGCCCATGAGGCTCCGCCATCTGCTCCGAGCCTTTCTGCTCCCTCCCCACGTCCCAGGTCCCACCCCCCTGCCCCGAGCAGCCTTGTTTGTGAAAGAGGAGAAGGAACTGCTAAGCCGGGGCTGGCTGCCCCCTCCTGCGCTGTGACCTGCGGCAGGCACCCCTGCTCCAGCCCGCCTGGAGCTGAACTCAACCGAACACCTTCGGCTCCTGCTCGTCTCTTCCCTTCACATTTGTCTCCCCGCAGGAGAAGCTCTGGACTGAGCCAAGCGTCTCCCACCTCCCGTTTCTGCCAGGGGTACAGATTCCACAGGGCCTCGTGAACCCTGACCGTCAGCTCCACAGGGTCCTGCAGAAACGTGCTTCCATCAGGATTAACGCACTGTGCTGCCGCTTTGGTCCTGCCCCAAGCTGGATGAGGGCAGAGGAGGCCTCCAGGTTAATCGGGCCTTTGTCCTAACTGTTTCCTGGGGAAGCTTTCCCATGCTGCCATTGAAGAGAGCAGGAGGGGAACCGCACACAGCCTGGGCTCCAAAGGGAACGTGGCACTGCCTCCTGGCTCAAGGCCTTTGAAAGGCTTTCAGGATTTTAGCAGATTGAGGTGAGCTCTGGGTGCGTTCGCTTGTGGCGCTGCTTCCACGGAGCCAGTTTTGTGATTCACATCAAACACTCACCTGATGTCTCTCATAAATAACAGGAACACTGAAGAGCGAGATCAAAGCTGGAAGAGAGCACAGCAGAGGTGTTAAGTGTTGACAGAAGGGAGGCTGCTCAGGTAACACAAACCCTGCCTTCCACACCTTGACTCTGCCTCCCAAAAGGTACAAGAAATAACCAAGCCGCATGCAGCAACTGCTGGCTGCTAATTTCAGTAACCCCATGAAGCAGAGGCTGGTCTGGTCTCCAGGTCTCAATTGCAGCACCCTAAGGCTGGTCACTGTGGGTTACACACGTTCTTCAAAGGGGATGCCTCAGCTTCGGCCAGGGCCAGGTGGGTTCCAACACCTGAAGCTCTGCTCTGGGATACAAGGAACAAAACTGCTTGGGTAGGACATGGCCAGAGGCAGCCGGTACCTCCTCCAGAGCCCCAGGCTAACCCCAACAGGGATGAGCACAACAGAACGTGCTTTCAAATGATACAAGTCTGAATTGCTCAGCTTGCTGGTTTTTGAACAGCACGGTTCAAAATGACCTGTTCCAGTGTTATCAACGTCCCAGAGAAAGGACACGGAGCTACCGCATCCCGCTACGTGCTCCAGAACACAGGAACAGCCCCCTGGTATCCAGCAGACCTCAGTGCTTCCCCTGGTTAGTCCGTATTGAGCATGGTTTCAAACACTTACCCAGAATCAGCAATGTCAGA